ATCGGAGGGATCCAATGGGAACTGTTAGGCTGTCTGGTCATCGGCTGGCTCCTCGTATATTTCATCATCCGGCGTGGTCTCCACCAGAGTGGTAAAATTATTTGGTTTTCAGCTTTGTTCCCCTACGTGGTGCTTTTTATTCTTTTGGGAAGAGCGGTGACGTTGGAGGGCAGCTACAACGGCTTGCTGTACTACGTCACGCCGAGGTGGGAGGAATTATTGTCGCCTGGCCCATGGATCGACGGGGCCACGCAAATTTTCTTCGCCTACAGCATCGGGACTGGAGCTCTGCCCGCTCTCGGATCGTACAACAAGTTCCATCACAATTGCTACAAGTGAGATCATTCCCTAATTAATTGTCCTCTCAACTATGATTATTTTCACTATGATATGCAATTCTGTTTCTGCGATTCTTTATCGAAGTGTAATCTTTTCTCTCTCTGTATTATTTATAGAAAATATTTCATATCGACGATAATAAATCATTTTTCTTTAATTTTGTCAGAGAACACATTGACTCGTTCCACTTAATATAACAACTTTTCGATCGAGCTAATGAATGACTCGTCCTTTTCCCTTCGTTTTTACCTTCCAAGTTCCAAGTTTGAAAAAAAAAAGAGAGAGAGAAATTCGATAAAATATTGTTTCAGAGACGCATTGATCACGTGTGTGGTGAACACGTTAACCTGTCTACTGGCCGGTTGCGTCACTTTCTCCATCCTGGGCCACATCGCGTTGGAACAGGGAACAGAAGTGGCCAAGGTGGTTAAAAGCGGCCCAGGCCTCGTGTTTCTCACTTATCCAGAGGTGGTCCTCAAGCTTCCCGGCGCCTCCATGTGGGCCATCATCTTCTTCGTGATGCTCCTCGTGAGAAAGCTTCAACTTCACTCCCTTCTTCTTTTCAATTCTTTCTTCACTTGTGTCATGATCCTTAGATATATATATTTCCATATGCATTGTCTTGATAATGAATGGTTATCCTTATGCTTTTCTTTCGGTATAACAGATACTCGGGATCGACAGTGAATTCTGTATCGTGGAATCGTTCATCACAGGGGTTGTCGACAATTGGCCCGACCTCTTACGCCCCCACAGGAACAAGTTCACCATTGCCATTTGCTGTCTCATGTTCCTTTTGGGCCTTCCCATGGTGACCAACGTTAGTGTCGATTAATAAATATTCGTGTCAACGAGATTAATAAATATTCATTTTCAAACGAGAAATCAATTAAATAATCGTTTAAGGGTGGCGTTTACATATTCCAATTAATGGATTTCTACTCGGCGAGCGGAATGTCGATTCTCTGGGTCTGTTTCTTCCAAACGATAGCTATATCTTGGATATTTGGAGCGAAAAAATTCTGCGATTGCATACATCAGATGATGGGTATACGATTGAATAACTTCTGGTATATTTGCTGGGTCGTGTTTGCACCAGTGATCATGGCTGTAAGTATCCCTTTCGTCGAATATAATAATATTCATTCGTCCAATTCTTTAAAAAAAAAGAAAGAAAGGGGACTTCTTATCTCTTTCAGTTCATCTTCGTGTTCCAATGCGTTCAATACAAACCTCTGAGATATGGAAACAATTACGAATATCCGACGTGGGCGGAGGTGATAGGCGTTTGTCTCAGTTTGTCATCCATGATCTGGATCCCTGTTTACGCTATATATTACGTGGTCGTTACACCAGGATCCATAAAAGAGGTGAAATTTTTATTTCTTATCAATTTCGTCCTATATATTTGATATCGATCGATCAATTTTGTTCGAGTTTTATGTATCTAAAAATTTTCATTTTTCGATTAAGGCGTTTAAAGATCGATCCAATTTTTCAGAATATTATGAAAGGTTTGAAACCGAACATAAAATCACATCCAAAATTACCGAAGGGGGAGAAATCGGCAGTGATACCAATGTCGGAGAGCAGCGCGGGATTGATCACGAAGAACAACAGTTTCCTAAGTCAAACATGATCGCCGTAAAAATGGCTTCCTTATTTCTTATTAGGTTGTAATTAACGTAAGTGTAGTATTTTCAACGAGATTTATTAATCGAAGTATTAATAAATCGGACAGAGTTGCTCGATTCATTAGGAATTCGTTTCTTTTGATTTCGATAAAATTAAAATTCAAAGAAAATCGAATCAATTTCTTCGAAGCAAAAAAATATATTTCAACCGTAAAAGTTCTTTTTGATCGACAATACTTTCGAGATGAATCAAAATAAAGAAGAAGAAAAATAACAAGTTGTATGAATATATAATGAAATTCGAGCAATTACTGTGCGAATAAAAAAATACTCGTTCCTTCTATATTAAACGATGGTACCACGTAAAAAAAAGAGTAAGTATTATCTATTTATCGTTAGAGAAAGATGACGAAGAAGATAAGATAGCAGACACCGCTAGTTCTCGGATAACTAAACAAAAGATACAAGTGAGTCGAAGAGGTCTATATTTTTTATCGCGATGTTTCTCTATGCACGAAAAAGATACGACCCAATTTTTACCGATATTTTTATTATTCGACGAATGCCTACTTTTCGAGAAGCAGAAATTTTTTAAAAAACGATGTACGTAGTTAGTTCGATTACTAGCCGGTTAAATTACAGATAATGAGAATCGTGCCTCGACATTGACACTCTTGTTAAAAAAATTTTTCTTCCTTTTTTCTTCCTTTTAAAACGAATAATATTAGTTTTTAAATATTATTAATTAAGCTAAGTTACATGTAGTCTTATTATAACATAGTTGATATTTATTAATTTTTAATATTAAAAATATTAAAAAGAAAGAAAATAAGTTTTGTATATAATCGGTTGGAAAAATTTTTTCACGTCAAATCGAGTCGAGGATAGAAGTGTGCCTCGCAGAAATTCGTTGGTACCATAATTACCGGGAATCATTGCGTAAGAAACGAATAAACTTTCTGCAGGATTAGATTAAAAATTCATTTTTAGAAAATTTATTAACAATTCGTTCGTTGGACGAATTTAAAACGGAAAAAAAAAAAAAAAAATCAAATCAATGATTCCTTTCGATCGCAGTGATTCCACGCGAAGGATCGTAAATCCAGGAATATAGATGTAAGATAAGAATATAATATAAACATTAGTTTTATGAAAGAATTATATCTAGTGAATATATCTACGATTTTAAGATTGCTAAAAGGATTATTAATTCAAAATATTGTTCGACGTACTGTTATTTGCATTAATAATATTATTAATTCAAACGACCAATTAATAGTATATTTAAAGAGAAAAAAATATTGTTGGAACGAGAAGTGACGCTCGACAAAACTCGATTTATAAATAATTGATGGACACGAGCAATAAATTTGGAAACGGGCCTAAGTAATAATTCTGTCTGTGTTTAAACCATCGTCTTCTGACCATGCTCTGTTTAACACATTCAATGCAAAATATATGTCGTAAAAAGAATTTGTTTTAAGCTGTGGTGGATCATCATGTGCATCTACGTACCGCAAAAAATATTCTATTATACATGGATGACGTGCATGTCACAAAGAATATCCTATCCTGTGGCAAATCATGTAAGGATACATGTCACGAAAAATATTTTACGTGGCGAATATCAAAAAGAATATCACAAAAATATTTTATGAGGCGGATGACATAAACATATTCGTCACAAAGAATGTCTTATCCTGTAGCAAATGATGTAAGGATGCGCGTCACGAAAAATATTTTACGTGGCGGATGACGCGAACATCCTCGTCACAAAGAATGTCCTATCCTGTAGCAGACGATATACGGATGCGCGTCACAAAAAATATTTTACGTGGCAGATGACGCGAATGTACGCGTCACAAAGAATGTTCTATCCTGTAGCAGACGATATAAGGATGCGCGTCACAAAAAATAATTTATGTGGCGGATGATGCGAATATCACAAAGAATGTCTTATCCTGTAGCAGACGATGTAAGGATACGCGTCACAAAATTCTTTTTGTTATGTAACGGATGACGTGAACATACGCGTCACAAAGAATGTCCTATCCTGTGGTAACCGATATAAGGGCGTGCATCACAAAAAATATTTCAGGAGAGGGATGACACGAATATGTACGCATCACAAAGAATGTCTTATCCTGTAGCGGACAATGTAAAGATACGCGTCACAACAAATCTTTTATATGGCGGATGATGCGAATATCACAAAGAATGTCTTATCCTGTAGCAGACGATGTAAGGATACGCGTCACAAAATTCTTTTTGTTATGTAACGGATGACGTGAACATACGCGTCACAAAGAATGTCCTATCCTGTGGTAACCGATATAAGGGCGTGCATCACAAAAAATATTTCAGGAGAGGGATGACACGAATATGTACGCATCACAAAGAATGTCTTATCCTGTAGCGGACAATGTAAAGATACGCGTCACAACAAATCTTTTATATGGCGGATGATGCGAATATCACAAAGAATGTCTTATCCTGTAGCAGACGATGTAAGGATACGCGTCACAAAATTCTTTTTGTTATGTAACGGATGACGTGAACATACGCGTCACAAAGAATGTCCTATCCTGTGGTAACCGATATAAGGGCGTGCATCACAAAAAATATTTCAGGAGAGGGATGACACGAATATGTACGCATCACAAAGAATGTCTTATCCTGTAGCGGACAATGTAAAGATACGCGTCACAAAAAATATTTTATATGGCGGATGATGCGAATATCACAAAGAATGTCTTATCCTGTAGCAGACAATGTAAGAATGCGCGTCACAAAATTTTTTTTATTATGTAATGGATGACACGAACATACGCGTCACAAAGAATGTTCTATCCTGTGATAGATGATAAAGGTGCGCTATAAAGTTTTGCGAGAAATATGAAAGATAAAAAAGAGTTTTCTGACTTTCCTTTCGTTCCCTCGTTGCTTTTGTATTTTTTTTTCACAATTATTGTTTTTGTATATTCGAATATTTGATTTTTAATGGCGTATTGAATGCGTTAAACGAGTATTTCGACAATTGTTGATGTTGCGCGTACATTTACACGTCTACTTGTTTTCATTCTATATCAACGCATTGTTATACCCGCGAATAATTTTCTAATCGAGCTAAGCGTAATATTTATCACGATGGACGTTTCTTTCTTATCGTTTAGTTTCGAACAAGGAAAAAATCGAATGCGTAAATTTTATTGTAATTTTTATTGTAATAGCACGAAAGAGTTGAAGAACGAAACGAGATTCGAAGATGTATGATGCGTTTATTATGGTTGTACGAAAATATATAAGAGGATATTCTTTCGATGGCCTTTCGACTTGTGATCCCAAAAATATCGAACGAGAAAGATCTCATCGCTATTTCGTCCTTAAACGCGATCGACTTTCTTTACTTTAATTTTAAATTTCCGTATATTTTATTTTTCTCTACTTTTCACGCTGTGATTTAAATTTTTTTTTATACAAAATTTTGATATCAATCCTGTTAATAATCCTTATATTAAAATATATATATATATACGTACTTCTTCTTTTCAAAAGTATCACCAATGATACGAAAAATCATTCCAAATGGAATTACAAGGATTAATCCCTCAACGTTCGACAAATTTTTATCCATATTTTTTGTATTCTATTTCAACGTAATACAATTCTTCGATTTTAAAATCCACAAAAATAAATCAAATGACAGATTTATCACAGGCATCAAAGGATATAATAAACATCGTTTGTCGTTCAATGATAAATTCGATCAATTCGAAGGATGATAAATAGAAACAGGAACGGAACGAAAGTGACAGAGTGATATGATCGACCGATTGAATTCCGTTTCCGGTCCTCGCGCGTCTCATCTCGTCGTTTAATCAATTGGACCCACCATTGATTCATGGAATGCGAATAGTTTTCACGTTAATAATATACATTAATCAATATACTTTTCTCCTCTTTGTAGATCGATGGTGAACGCGTTCGAAACCGAAATCGAGATGAACCGCGTTGCTTCATCAACCCTTTCGTTCGAAACACTGTCGAGGTTTAATTTGAAAGCATAGCGATCAACGCAGCGTTCGATGAGATTGATTCTTTTGACATTTGTTCCTAGTAAAATACATAAATAAATTCTATAAATAAATGTTTAATTTTATCATTTAACAGGAGAGGAACGATGGAATAATTTGTAACGATCTGGTAATCTGATATTCGCAAATTAAAAGCTATTGAACATAAGACAAAACGGGGAAGATATTTCACCTTAAAAACTAAATTAATCTTTTAATCGTGAAAATATAATTTCGTAATCGCATATTGCGTACTATTTCTCGCATAATACTGAAATTTCGTTCGCTTCAACGTTTAGCATTTCTCCCTTCTATCGCAATATAAAATACATATTTTGCGTGATAATTTCTCTCTATTGCGATTCCATCATCACAATATTCCGTAATAACGTTTCATTATAAAAGAGTCTGCCATAAGTCTGTCAAAGCGACAAATTCTCTCTCGCTGAAAATCTTGGCGCGAAATACGTGGACGAGAGAACGTTATGCATCAAACGACGTATTACCTGGACGCTAACGTAACACAAGCGTGACATTGGTTGGTGGAAGGACCGATACGTCATTTACGTGGGGCGCACGCTTTGTCCCAGCGTCTGTGAAAAATTCAAGGCGAGGTTGGAAGGGGAAGGGAAGGGAATTCGTGGAATATATTCGTGAGGGAAGAATGGAAACCGGCACGAACGAGGCACGCGTTGATTGTGCCGGTGAATAGGGCCTTTGTCACGGGACGAATTCAATCGGAAATTCTGTACAGGGTTTCCGGTTTCCATCTCTTTTCCGCGCGCTTCCACTTCACCCCCGCAATACCCTCTCCCCCCGCGTCTATTGTCGGCCCTTCAAAGTCCGAATCTCCGATTTTCTCGAGATTTTTCCGCGAGCTCGAAAATGAAAGGTTCGCTTTCGAATTTATTTCAACGCTCCTCGTGCTCTTTGTCGATGGAAACCGTTCGCTTTCCGCCTATTTTCGGGAACTTTGCTCTCGTCGAGCAAAGTTTTTTTACTCTCTTTATTTTTCCTTTTTCTTTCTCTTCGAACGAATTTTGTCCACGTTTGAACAAAATCGCGCGGAGATTTCGAGTGTTTGTGCGAGTTGCAGGGATTTCAATTTTTAATTATGTACGTTTAATTCGATTAATATCGGAGGATCGTAATAACTTTCGTTTCATTTTGCTCGAGAATATCGATCGATTTCTCCGAAAATTCTAAATTCAAATTTTTGCGAAAGCGAAAGAAGTTGTGTACCACGGAAAAGAAGAAAAGAATTTGAACAACATCGAAAACAAGTTTAG